CCGAAATCCATGCCGAGCAGCAAGACATGGACCTGCAAGAAGAACGACACAAGAAGAAGATATCAGCACCGGAATTTGCATTCCACACTCAGCGACGCTACAACAACGTCAAACAACAACAACCGAAGCCCGTACCTCCATTCTGCCACATCTGCAAGACGTCAGGGCACTCGCGCACGCACTGCCCGAATCGACAACAGTCAACTACACCGCAACGGCAGCTTCGACCCTCAAGCAGCCAAGTGGCATCGACGCAGGCGAACCCCACGAGTCAGTCGCAACCGTCAACAACACCACCTGCACAAGGAGCAAGGAACATCGTCAGCTGCATGGCAAAATTGACCGATTCCTGCATCACCGAGTCACCGCCACACTACTCACCGGAAGAACAACTCGACAACACCACACCTCGCCGCGAGTCACTTCAACCAAATCCAACGTACGCAGCCATCGCCCAGAGCGAGCCATCCGGGAAAGACACCTGGTTCTTGGACAGTTGCTGCGGACAACACATGTGCTCTTCAGGACGCTTCGTGCAGCAGGAATACCAACTCCAACGCGAAGTAGTCATCACCGTCGCCAACAACCAGAACCTGCGCACACGACGACAAGGAGTGGTTCAACTTCAGTCACGAGAAACAAACGTGATACTACAGATGTCAAAAGTTCTGATAGCAGAAGGACTTGGATATAACTTACTCAGCGTCAGCCAGCTGATGGCGAAGGGCATCCATCTCGAAGCAGACAGCACCACTCAAGAATTCAAGTTGTACCACGGGAGAGGAGGCCTTTACATCGGAAAGGCGGTCCTGAAACATAACGTCTTCGTTCTTGATTTTGTTCCAGATCTCGGCACAGCAGACAGCGACGGCATCGTCACCTTCACTTCCCGGACCCACCCTCCAGACCTTGATCCAGACTTCAGCCCCGGCGGCTTCTGGTATTCTCACACCATCCCTGAGGCAGAAAGAACAAGGGCATTAGCAAAAATTCAACACTCGGCAGCAGCAGAGACAACATCGGCAGCAGCAGAGACAACATCGGCAGCAGCAGAGACAACATCGGCAGCAGCAGAAACCACATCAACGGCAGCAGCAGGAACGTCAACACCAATCGCTGGTCCTTCAACAGCACCGCTCCTCGTCGACGACACACCACCGACACCCGCGCAACAACTACACCCAGCACTACGAGAAGTTCATCGAAGCGCCAACTTCACCGCCAGCTTCTACTCCAACTCCGACCTGTACCGACGATCACCCGGACATCGCGCCGACGAAAGCACCTGGCACGCAAGGATGGGACACCCAAGCAACACAGTATTAAACAATACGATAAGAGCAGGAGTACTCGACAAGGACTCACTACTACTGACCGATGGAAGAGAACTTCAACGAGTACGTGGAACGTGCTTCACCTGCCCTGAAGCTGACTTACCGCATCGACCGTTCGCGTCTCACCATACCCCAAGCGCACCAGCTTACGCACCACTCGAGAAGGTGTACAGCGACATCCTGTACAACCGCGAGCCGAGACAAAACGCGTACAATTACACCATAACGTTCATCGACGCCGCGACACGTTACATCTAGCACTTGAATCCTCCAAGCAAGGATATGACGTTGGAAGCGTTCGTTGCCTGGCTCCCTGTAGCGGAAAGAGAATCGGGCGTCAAGCTAAAGAACTTTCAGTCCGACGGAGGAGGAGAATACACCTCACAGAGGTTCAAGCAGTACTTGGCTGAAAGGGGAATCAAGCGGCTTATCTCCCTTCCCTACGCCCATCAACAGCAAGGTGTAGCAGAGAGGATGAACAGGACTCTCCAGAACACCATGCGGAAACTGCTACGTGGCATGCGGCTACCCAGCCACCAGTGGCCCGAAGCAATGGACCACGCCGTCATGCTGCACAACTTGCTCTCGTCTTCATCGCTCCCGAACAACGCATCACCGCACCTACTGTGGACAGGAAAACTGGGCAGCACAAAAATGTTAAGGGTCTTCGGCTGCATGGTACAGTACCGGCCCCCATCTGCACGAGCCGGCCGATTCTCTCAACGAGCACAGTGGGGATTACACCTGGGCATCGAAAAACACTACAACGCATGGAAAATCTTCGACGTCGAGACAAAAGAAACAGTGGCAGCACGTGATGTCATTTTCTACGAAAGACTCACACTGCCGACGTACCTTGCCAACCTGGACGAAAACCGAGACCTCACAGGTGGCTTTCGTGGAGACCGAGCCTTCGCTTCGGCAGAAGATGAAGCTGACTGGGACGAGCAGAACGTTGAAGGAGCCTCGGAAGAAGCCGGACCCCTCCCCTACTACTCCGTCGACGTGCCAATGGACGACGAAAACCCACGCGAAAGCATCAACGCCGAAACATACTACCACTTCGCTGACAACGGTTACGTTACACCTGCACAAGTCAACACCGACGACGCAGAACGCGTAGGACCCAACTTCGCACCTGATCCAGAAGCGGGAGACGAAGCAGTTTATCCCGCGGACATGTCACTCCCCCGCTACACACAGAGTGGACTCCAGATACTCGGGCTCGTCACCGCAGTCCACGGCACGGTCATTCCTAAGGAGCCTGCCACAATTCAGCAGGCTCTGGGGGGGGAGCATAAAGAAAAATGGCGCGAAGCCATGGACAGGGAATTAAAGGCACTAGAGGAGCGCAACACTTGGAAAGTCGTTCCCATCAGTGTGGCGCGGAACAAAACGATTCTCACCGGAAAGTGGGTTTTCCGAGTGAAAACAAAAGCAGACGGGACCATCGACAAATTCAAAGCACGCTGGGTCGTACGTGGCTTCGACCAAGAACACGGACGCGACTTCACCGAGACATTCGCTCCGGTCAGCCGACATACCTCACTGCGAATTCTCCTCGCGATCGCCGCCATGAAGAAGAAGTTGCGACAAATCGACGTCGCAAACGCATTTCTCTACGCACCTGTCGACGCAGAAATCTTCGTCGAGTTACCGCATGGCTCCAATGGAGAGCCCAATCAAGTCTGTCAGCTGCTGAAGTCGCTCTACGGCATCAAGCAAGCTCCGCGGCTATGGCAACAATACCTGCACGCTCGCCTCATTCGCATCGGCTTCAAACAACTACCGCATGATCAGGGGATGTACCGGCTCACGAAGAACACTAACTACATCCTGTTAATCGTCTACGTAGACGATCTACTCTACATCGGCTCGACCGACGGCATCACAACCTGGTTCGAAGGGGAGCTGCAGAAAGACCTCACGCTCACGGTCTCAACTACCGTCACGCAGTACCTCGGTCTCAACATCCGAGAAGAGGTAGACGCGATCTACCTCAGTGCCGCGAAATACGCCGACACCATCGCCAAGCGCTTCGCACTCACACCGACCGCCATCTCCATACCGTACCGCTACACGACAGGAAACAACAAGGGAAGCCCCGCTCTACTTAAGCCCGCCGGCATACGCGACTACCAAAGGAAACTGGGCTGCCTCCTTTTCGCAGCTGTCACCTGCCGCCCGGATCTATCGTATTCTGCAAGTCAGCTCGCCACCTACCTCAAGAAGCCTGAAGCAGAACATCTGGCGGAGCTCGACCGCGCTCTTCACTACCTCGTCAGCACCCCGACGATCGGCCTAACTTACTACAAGAACGCAACTACACCGCCCAAGTTAATAGGCTACGTTGACGCCGATCACGCTGGCGACTCCGACAACAGGCGTTCTCGCACCGGCTACATCTACCGCCTCAAACCTATCGGACCTATCTCTTGGCAGTCGAGCAAGCAGGAATTGATCGCCCTCTCGTCAGCTGAAGCAGAATATATTGCACTCTGTTCAGCCACCAAGGAAGGACTTTACTTCGCGAACTGCTGGAAGAAGCGAAACTGGCTCAGTTACCCAGCTTCACCCTGTTTTGCGACAACCAGTCGGCAATTCGCATCGCCAACAAGAACGGCTTCGCGAACAGGACGAAACACATCGCCCTGCGATATTTCTTCGTAAAGGACGAGATCGAGAAAGGGAGGCTCGAGCTGTCATACTGCCCCACGTCCGAAATGGCAGCTGACTACTTGACCAAGAAGCTCGAAAAGCAGAAGTTCGAGTTCTGCATGCTGCTGACTGGACAGAGCCACGTCACCAGCAGCGACACTCCAGAAGCGAAGGGGAGTGTTGGAAACAATCGGTCTTAAGCGCCTCTGTCGTGTCGAAACACCAAGACACAAGCGAAGCAAAGCATATCGAGGCACCAGCGAGTCAACCCTCGGAGGTTGAAGTAACTGCTGGAGGTTACGCGAAAGTCAAAGGTCAGCGACCTTTGACCTGACAAGTACAGCGCGACAGCAAGGACACACGACTGACTCGCTACAGAGCAGTTGCCCGAGTTGTCACTGTATCGAACCGCAACAGCAACAGTAAAACAGTTATAACTGTATCCTTTCATACTCGTACTCTTATATAATCTTGTATCTCTTTGTTTTAATCAATCTACTTTGCCCTCACATACTAGCGCAAGGTGGTTCACAATACTTCATTAAAACGCTTCCGTTATTACATCAGTCCTACTCAGAGTTCATCCCTGTAAAGATTCTAAGGGCTTTTTCAGCCCAACAGTTTAGTCCTGAAAAGATCCTAAGGCCCTTTTTTTCAGCCCAACGTATGGGACTAGTGTGGGGGTTGGGAAATGAGTGGAAAGATGAGAGGCAGGAAAGGGAGGAAGGAAACGTTTTTTTCCTGGAGAAAACAGGGAGGAGCGTATGTATACTCAGTAATAATTGGAGGACTCATTTCTATTCACAATATTTGCGCTCGTGAAATACAGTAGTGGGAGGGGCGTATGTATGCCCCAGGGATACCGTGACGTGGCTAATGAATGTGATGCTGCCTGCCGCTTCTGAGAGCACCACTCTACTCAGACATGTCAAACACTACCACAGCTCACAATGGCAGCAAGCAGAGGCACACGCACCACCACATGCCGTTCCACCCACTGCCACCTGGTCAGCAGTGGTTAGCGGTGAGGGGTGAGTCACGCGGGAAGCAGCCGCTGCGCACCACATGTGAATAAAGCAGGTCGTTCCAGACATCAGGCACGCCCGGCAGGCACCAGTGCACGCAGTCTCCCTGCTCGCCGTCACTGCTGTTGTCTCCCGCGTGCCACTTGGACTTGTGTGCGTCGGGGCGTGTGGACGTGAGGCCGGTGACATCAAGCAGGTGCACCGGCAGAGAGGCGCGTGGCCGCACCGAGGATGCCAACCATGGAGTCCGGGGGTCCGGGAGGTAGTCAGGAATAGAAACGGAGGTGTCACGTGGGATTGGTTCTGAATCGGCTGCTGGATCAGCGAATGCTGGTGCTTCGGCATCCACTGCTGCTGCGTGTGCTGCAATGGCGTCTGCAACTGCAGCCTCTGCAAACCAGTCCCGGGACAAAAATGAAAGCTGCTCAACCTCCCTTGCTGTTAGAAACGGCTGGGAGCAGCATGGTGGGGAAGGCCGTGGAACAAAAGGAGGGATTTGGGTTGTGGTTGAGAAAAAAGGCTCAGCAGGGATGGAGACATGCTATGGATGCATGTGGCAAGAGTGGCTAACACAGAGCACACTATTGTGCACTCACACATGACGAGAGCCATGCATGCTCGTTTGTAACTAGCCACACAAGACATGCCATGCTCGACACACATGAATTCCTCTACCTTCCAGCATCCAGCCTGCCCTCCCTGATTTACAAGCACTAACAGAACAGCCAGCCCAACAGCAGGAGTCAAGACAGGCTACATGTGTGGCCCACAAACCTACTCCTCCCATCCCCACACGCCCTTCGTCAGTCTCACGGGCAGGGTATGGCAGCCGGCGTCGGAGCCGTTGGTGTGCACTGACGGCTGCCCCAGCACCACCACCATCAGCGCCCTGCCCCCGCCCCCCCCCTTGCACGCTCCACCCACCCCCTCCACGCCACTCGCCTGTTCAACAGCCTCCTTAAATTCGTTTCCAAAAACACCCTCCCCCGCAGCACTGACTCCATCAATCCCAGCCCCACGGTGCGTCCCTTTCTCCCCACTGTACGCATCTCTCCCAAGCTTTCCAGCCGCATCCCCGTCCCGCCCCCCCCCTCCCCTTCTCCCATGCTTCAAGATCCAGGCAACGGTGGTGCGCAGCGCTGTGTAGGCGCCAAGGAGAGGGTTTGCCTCCAGCTTGCGCTGCTGCTCGGGGCTCACAGGCTGGGTGCTCACGTGGAAGCGCCAGTGATAGTCGGCCACCTCCCACCTGGGATATGGAGATGACATGGGGGAAGGGAGGTTCGAGAGGAGGTTACGAGAGGTTGTGATGCAAGGTTATGATGGGAGGTTAGAACGGGAGGTTAGGATGGGAGGTTATGATGGGAGGTTATGATGGGAGGTTATGATGGGAGGTTAAGATGGGAGCACAGGGGAAGAAGTACGGGTGGAGAGCAGAAACTGAAGCAGAGAGGATGGGGATAACGTGGGAGAGGAAAAGGAATCATTGAGAAACACGGGAGGGCAAGGAAGTGAGGAAGAGGAACACAGGGAGAAGAAACAAGTGCAGAGACCCGAGAAGGAGAAGGAACAGAAAGTCCGCAGCGAAGCAGCAGCACAAGGGCCAGCAGCCCACGCTGATGCCCAGCAGCAACGAAGGCGGCACAATGTGCAGAGGCAGCAGGCAGGGCGGGAAAGCACCCGTGGTTACCGCGACCAGTGCGGGCCGGTGTTGAGCACGAGCAGGTCTATCTGAGGCAGGTACGCCTGCAGGAACTCGTCCGGCCTGTCCAGATGCACTGCATGCACCTGCGATGCGTTCGACCAGTCGTTGACTGCCATGTGGCAAAGCGAGGTGGTCCACTTGTGCAGGATGGTGGTGTTGAACTCCACCAATCGGTATGCTATGCCGTTCCACCCCTGCCAGCCTGCCTCCCAGCTCAGCTGAAACTTCTTAGACACAGGACGAAAGGTGGGTCGGGAAGGGCTGCTGCTGCTGTTCGACCTGATTCCGTTGCTGCTGCGGCCAGCGAAAACAGTAGTGGTACTGCTGGTGCTTGTGGCAGTGGTGTCGGGGTTGGCGGTGGTATTGTGTGCGGTGGTGGAGGAGGGGGGGCGAGGGGGGGTGAGGAGGAGGCACATGAGGGAGACGAACTGCTGCTGGGCCATGGAGTCCCCTATGAACGCTATCACTCGGTTGCGGAACCTGCCAGCCAGGAGAGAAAGGGAGGGAATGTGCGAAGGAAGGAAGAGGCGAGGAGGCACAGAGCAGAGGCAATGATGATTGGCTGCAGCGACTCATTGGAGAGAGTGGACGAGGCTGGAGTGAAGCGAGACAAGGATCACGAGCGAAACGAGTGGGGGGCTGACCGGTGCAGGAAGTCAGCGGGGTCAAAGAGCGGCAGGTGGCACGCATGGGGGCGCCAGCAGTAGTGGTCGTAGCCTGCCATGCTGGCAGGGCGGCCGGGCACGCGGCAGTCCATGGTGGGGTGCAGCAGCGGGCAGGAGGCGCGAGAGTAGCGTGCCTCGTCACGCCCCTCGCCGCTGCTGCTGCTGCTGCTGCTGCTGCTGGCGTCCATCCCCTGCCCGCCCTGCTGAGTGGACCCATCCACATGCGGCGGGGCAGCACAGGGGGTCCAGGCGCCTGTGTAGAGAGGGCACGCCGGGCACGCGTGGCACGACAGCGGCAGGGCGTGCGCGTCAACGGCAGGGGGTTGCGGTGGGGGGAGAGGGGGAGTGGGCTGTGGTGCTACTGAGACCCACTCTTGCAGCAGCGCTACTGATGATGCCGGGTAGTCTGCATGCATGACTCAGTAAACCGCGCACACAGGGCACGAGGCACGAGGCAGGAGGGGGAGGAGAAATTGCATGAGAGGAGCACAGGTTGCACTGCATGAGAGGAGCACAGGTTGCACTGCATGAGAGGAGCACAGGTTGCACTGCATGAGAGGAGCACAGGTTGCACTGCATGAGAGGAGCACAGGTTGCACTGCATGAGAGGAGCACAGGTTGCACTGCATGAGAGGAGCACAGGTTGCACTGCATGAGAGGAGCACAGGTTGCACTGCATGAGAGGAGCACAGGTTGCACTGCATGAGAGGAGCACAGGTTGCACTGCATGAGAGGAGCACAGGTTGCACTGCATGAGAGGAGCACAGGTTGCACTGCATGAGAGGAGCACAGGTTGCACTGCATGAGAGGAGCACAGGTTGCACTGCATGAGAGGAGCACAGGTTGCACTGCATGAGAGGAGCACAGGTTGCACTGCATGAGAGGAGCACAGGTTGCACTGCATGAGAGGAGCACAGGTTGCACTGCATGAGAGGAGCACAGGTTGCACTGCATGAGAGGAGCACAGGTTGCACTGCATGAGAGGAGCACAGGTTGCACTGCATGAGAGGAGCACAGGTTGCACTGCATGAGAGGAGCACAGGTTGCACTGCATGAGAGGAGCACAGGTTGCACTGCATGAGAGGAGCACAGGTTGCACTGCATGAGAGGAGCACAGGTTGCACTGCATGAGAGGAGCACAGGTTGCACTGCATGAGAGGAGCACAGGTTGCACTGCATGAGAGGAGCACAGGTTGCACTGCATGAGAGGAGCACAGGTTGCACTGCATGAGAGGAGCACAGGTTGCACTGCATGAGAGGAGCACAGGTTGCACTGCATGAGAGGAGCACAGGTTGCACTGCATGAGAGGAGCACAGGTTGCACTGCATGAGAGGAGCACAGGTTGCACTGCATGAGAGGAGCACAGGTTGCACTGCATGAGAGGAGCACAGGTTGCACTGCATGAGAGGAGCACAGGTTGCACTGCATGAGAGGAGCACAGGTTGCACTGCATGAGAGGAGCACAGGTTGCACTGCATGAGAGGAGCACAGGTTGCACTGCATGAGAGGAGCACAGGTTGCACTGCATGAGAGGAGCACAGGTTGCACTGCATGAGAGGAGCACAGGTTGCACTGCATGAGAGGAGCACAGGTTGCACTGCATGAGAGGAGCACAGGTTGCACTGCATGAGAGGAGCACAGGTTGCACTGCATGAGAGGAGCACAGGTTGCACTGCATGAGAGGAGCACAGGTTGCACTGCATGAGAGGAGCACAGGTTGCACTGCATGAGAGGAGCACAGGTTGCACTGCATGAGAGGAGCACAGGTTGCACTGCATGAGAGGAGCACAGGTTGCACTGCATGAGAGGAGCACAGGTTGCACTGCATGAGAGGAGCACAGGTTGCACTGCATGAGAGGAGCACAGGTTGCACTGCATGAGAGGAGCACAGGTTGCACTGCATGAGAGGAGCACAGGTTGCACTGCATGAGAGGAGCACAGGTTGCACTGCATGAGAGGAGCACAGGTTGCACTGCATGAGAGGAGCACAGGTTGCACTGCATGAGAGGAGCACAGGTTGCACTGCATGAGAGGAGCACAGGTTGCACTGCATGAGAGGAGCACAGGTTGCACTGCATGAGAGGAGCACAGGTTGCACTGCATGAGAGGAGCACAGGTTGCACTGCATGAGAGGAGCACAGGTTGCACTGCATGAGAGGAGCACAGGTTGCACTGCATGAGAGGAGCACAGGTTGCACTGCATGAGAGGAGCACAGGTTGCACTGCATGAGAGGAGCACAGGTTGCACTGCATGAGAGGAGCACAGGTTGCACTGCATGAGAGGAGCACAGGTTGCACTGCATGAGAGGAGCACAGGTTGCACTGCATGAGAGGAGCACAGGTTGCACTGCATGAGAGGAGCACAGGTTGCACTGCATGAGAGGAGCACAGGTTGCACTGCATGAGAGGAGCACAGGTTGCACTGCATGAGAGGAGCACAGGTTGCACTGCATGAGAGGAGCACAGGTTGCACTGCATGAGAGGAGCACAGGTTGCACTGCATGAGAGGAGCACAGGTTGCACTGCATGAGAGGAGCACAGGTTGCACTGCATGAGAGGAGCACAGGTTGCACTGCATGAGAGGAGCACAGGTTGCACTGCATGAGAGGAGCACAGGTTGCACTGCATGAGAGGAGCACAGGTTGCACTGCATGAGAGGAGCACAGGTTGCACTGCATGAGAGGAGCACAGGTTGCACTGCATGAGAGGAGCACAGGTTGCACTGCATGAGAGGAGCACAGGTTGCACTGCATGAGAGGAGCACAGGTTGCACTGCATGAGAGGAGCACAGGTTGCACTGCATGAGAGGAGCACAGGTTGCACTGCATGAGAGGAGCACAGGTTGCACTGCATGAGAGGAGCACAGGTTGCACTGCATGAGAGGAGCACAGGTTGCACTGCATGAGAGGAGCACAGGTTGCACTGCATGAGAGGAGCACAGGTTGCACTGCATGAGAGGAGCACAGGTTGCACTGCATGAGAGGAGCACAGGTTGCACTGCATGAGAGGAGCACAGGTTGCACTGCATGAGAGGAGCACAGGTTGCACTGCATGAGAGGAGCACCAGGTTGCACTGCATGAGAGGAGCACAGGTTGCACTGCATGAGAGGAGCACAGGTTGCACTGCATGAGAGGAGCACAGGTTGCACTGCATGAGAGGAGCACAGGTTGCACTGCATGAGAGGAGCACAGGTTGCACTGCATGAGAGGAGCACAGGTTGCACTGCATGAGAGGAGCACAGGTTGCACTGCATGAGAGGAGCACAGGTTGCACTGCATGAGAGGAGCACAGGTTGCACTGCATGAGAGGAGCACAGGTTGCACTGCATGAGAGGAGCACAGGTTGCACTGCATGAGAGGAGCACAGGTTGCACTGCATGAGAGGAGCACAGGTTGCACTGCATGAGAGGAGCACAGGTTGCACTGCATGAGAGGAGCACAGGTTGCACTGCATGAGAGGAGCACAGGTTGCACTGCATGAGAGGAGCACAGGTTGCACTGCATGAGAGGAGCACAGGTTGCACTGCATGAGAGGAGCACAGGTTGCACTGCATGAGAGGAGCACAGGTTGCACTGCATGAGAGGAGCACAGGTTGCACTGCATGAGAGGAGCACAGGTTGCACTGCATGAGAGGAGCACAGGTTGCACTGCATGAGAGGAGCACAGGTTGCACTGCATGAGAGGAGCACAGGTTGCACTGCATGAGAGGAGCACAGGTTGCACTGCATGAGAGGAGCACAGGTTGCACTGCATGAGAGGAGCACAGGTTGCACTGCATGAGAGGAGCACAGGTTGCACTGCATGAGAGGAGCACAGGTTGCACTGCATGAGAGGAGCACAGGTTGCACTGCATGAGAGGAGCACAGGTTGCACTGCATGAGAGGAGCACAGGTTGCACTGCATGAGAGGAGCACAGGTTGCACTGCATGAGAGGAGCACAGGTTGCACTGCATGAGAGGAGCACAGGTTGCACTGCATGAGAGGAGCACAGGTTGCACTGCATGAGAGGAGCACAGGTTGCACTGCATGAGAGGAGCACAGGTTGCACTGCATGAGAGGAGCACAGGTTGCACTGCATGAGAGGAGCACAGGTTGCACTGCATGAGAGGAGCACAGGTTGCACTGCATGAGAGGAGCACAGGTTGCACTGCATGAGAGGAGCACAGGTTGCACTGCATGAGAGGAGCACAGGTTGCACTGCATGAGAGGAGCACAGGTTGCACTGCATGAGAGGAGCACAGGTTGCACTGCATGAGAGGAGCACAGGTTGCACTGCATGAGAGGAGCACAGGTTGCACTGCATGAGAGGAGCACAGGTTGCACTGCATGAGAGGAGCACAGGTTGCACTGCATGAGAGGAGCACAGGTTGCACTGCATGAGAGGAGCACAGGTTTGCACTGCATGAGAGGAGCACAGGTTGCACTGCATGAGAGGAGCACAGGTTGCACTGCATGAGAGGAGCACAGGTTGCACTGCATGAGAGGAGCACAGGTTGCACTGCATGAGAGGAGCACAGGTTGCACTGCATGAGAGGAGCACAGGTTGCACTGCATGAGAGGAGCACAGGTTGCACTGCATGAGAGGAGCACAGGTTGCACTGCATGAGAGGAGCACAGGTTGCACTGCATGAGAGGAGCACAGGTTGCACTGCATGAGAGGAGCACAGGTTGCACTGCATGAGAGGAGCACAGGTTTGCACTGCATGAGAGGAGCACAGGTTGCACTGCATGAGAGGAGCACAGGTTGCACTGCATGAGAGGAGCACAGGTTGCACTGCATGAGAGGAGCACAGGTTGCACTGCATGAGAGGAGCACAGGTTGCACTGCATGAGAGGAGCACAGGTTGCACTGCATGAGAGGAGCACAGGTTGCACTGCATGAGAGGAGCACAGGTTGCACTGCATGAGAGGAGCACAGGTTGCACTGCATGAGAGGAGCACAGGTTGCACTGCATGAGAGGAGCACAGGTTGCACTGCATGAGAGGAGCACAGGTTGCACTGCATGAGAGGAGCACAGGTTGCACTGCATGAGAGGAGCACAGGTTGCACTGCATGAGAGGAGCACAGGTTGCACTGCATGAGAGGAGCACAGGTTGCACTGCATGAGAGGAGCACAGGTTGCACTGCATGAGAGGAGCACAGGTTGCACTGCATGAGAGGAGCACAGGTTGCACTGCATGAGAGGAGCACAGGTTGCACTGCATGAGAGGAGCACAGGTTGCACTGCATGAGAGGAGCACAGGTTGCACTGCATGAGAGGAGCACAGGTTGCACTGCATGAGAGGAGCACAGGTTGCACTGCATGAGAGGAGCACAGGTTGCACTGCATGAGAGGAGCACAGGTTGCACTGCATGAGAGGAGCACAGGTTGCACTGCATGAGAGGAGCACAGGTTGCACTGCATGAGAGGAGCACAGGTTGCACTGCATGAGAGGAGCACAGGTTGCACTGCATGAGAGGAGCACAGGTTGCACTGCATGAGAGGAGCACAGGTTGCACTGCATGAGAGGAGCACAGGTTGCACTGCATGAGAGGAGCACAGGTTGCACTGCATGAGAGGAGCACAGGTTGCACTGCATGAGAGGAGCACAGGTTGCACTGCATGAGAGGAGCACAGGTTGCACTGCATGAGAGGAGCACAGGTTGCACTGCATGAGAGGAGCACAGGTTGCACTGCATGAGAGGAGCACAGGTTGCACTGCATGAGAGGAGCACAGGTTGCACTGCATGAGAGGAGCACAGGTTGCACTGCATGAGAGGAGCACAGGTTGCACTGCATGAGAGGAGCACAGGTTGCACTGCATGAGAGGAGCACAGGTTGCACTGCATGAGAGGAGCACAGGTTGCACTGCATGAGAGGAGCACAGGTTGCACTGCATGAGAGGAGCACAGGTTGCACTGCATGAGAGGAGCACAGGTTGCACTGCATGAGAGGAGCACAGGTTGCACTGCATGAGAGGAGCACAGGTTGCACTGCATGAGAGGAGCACAGGTTGCACTGCATGAGAGGAGCACAGGTTGCACTGCATGAGAGGAGCACAGGTTGCACTGCATGAGAGGAGCACAGGTTGCACTGCATGAGAGGAGCACAGGTTGCACTGCATGAGAGGAGCACAGGTTGCACTGCATGAGAGGAGCACAGGTTGCACTGCATGAGAGGAGCACAGGTTGCACTGCATGAGAGGAGCACAGGTTGCACTGCATGAGAGGAGCACAGGTTGCACTGCATGAGAGGAGCACAGGTTGCACTGCATGAGAGGAGCACAGGTTGCACTGCATGAGAGGAGCACAGGTTGCACTGCATGAGAGGAGCACAGGTTGCACTGCATGAGAGGAGCACAGGTTGCACTGCATGAGAGGAGCACAGGTTGCACTGCATGAGAGGAGCACAGGTTGCACTGCATGAGAGGAGCACAGGTTGCACTGCATGAGAGGAGCACAGGTTGCACTGCATGAGAGGAGCACAGGTTGCACTGCATGAGAGGAGCACAGGTTGCACTGCATGAGAGGAGCACAGGTTGCACTGCATGAGAGGAGCACAGGTTGCACTGCATGAGAGGAGCACAGGTTGCACTGCATGAGAGGAGCACAGGTTGCACTGCATGAGAGGAGCACAGGTTGCACTGCATGAGAGGAGCACAGGTTGCACTGCATGAGAGGAGCACAGGTTGCACTGCATGAGAGGAGCACAGGTTGCACTGCATGAGAGGAGCACAGGTTGCACTGCATGAGAGGAGCACAGGTTGCACTGCATGAGAGGAGCACAGGTTGCACTGCATGAGAGGAGCACAGGTTGCACTGCATGAGAGGAGCACAGGTTGCACTGCATGAGAGGAGCACAGGTTGCACTGCATGAGAGGAGCACAGGTTGCACTGCATGAGAGGAGCACAGGTTGCACTGCATGAGAGGAGCACAGGTTGCACTGCATGAGAGGAGCACAGGTTGCACTGCATGAGAGGAGCACAGGTTGCACTGCATGAGAGGAGCACAGGTTGCACTGCATGAGAGGAGCACAGGTTGCACTGCATGAGAGGAGCACAGGTTGCACTGCATGAGAGGAGCACAGGTTGCACTGCATGAGAGGAGCACAGGTTGCACTGCATGAGAGGAGCACAGGTTGCACTGCATGAGAGGAGCACAGGTTGCACTGCATGAGAGGAGCACAGGTTGCACTGCATGAGAGGAGCACAGGTTGCACTGCATGAGAGGAGCACAGGTTGCACTGCATGAGAGGAGCACAGGTTGCACTGCATGAGAGGAGCACAGGTTGCACTGCATGAGAGGAGCACAGGTTGCACTGCATGAGAGGAGCACAGGTTGCACTGCATGAGAGGAGCACAGGTTGCACTGCATGAGAGGAGCACAGGTTGCACTGCATGAGAGGAGCACAGGTTGCACTGCATGAGAGGAGCACAGGTTGCACTGCATGAGAGGAGCACAGGTTGCACTGCATGAGAGGAGCACAGGTTGCACTGCATGAGAGGAGCACAGGTTGCACTGCATGAGAGGAGCACAGGTTGCACTGCATGAGAGGAGCACAGGTTGCACTGCATGAGAGGAGCACAGGTTGCACTGCATGAGAGGAGCACAGGTTGCACTGCATGAGAGGAGCACAGGTTGCACTGCATGAGAGGAGCACAGGTTGCACTGCATGAGAGGAGCACAGGTTGCACTGCATGAGAGGAGCACAGGTTGCACTGCATGAGAGGAGCACAGGTTGCACTGCATGAGAGGAGCACAGGTTGCACTGCATGAGAGGAGCACAGGTTGCACTGCATGAGAGGAGCACAGGTTGCACTGCATGAGAGGAGCACAGGTTGCACTGCATGAGAGGAGCACAGGTTGCACTGCATGAGAGGAGCACAGGTTGCACTGCATGAGAGGAGCACAGGTTGCACTGCATGAGAGGAGCACAGGTTGCACTGCATGAGAGGAGCACAGGTTGCACTGCATGAGAGGAGCACAGGTTGCACTGCATGAGAGGAGCACAGGTTGCACTGCATGAGAGGAGCACAGGTTGCACTGCATGAGAGGAGCACAGGTTGCACTGCATGAGAGGAGCACAGGTTGCACTGCATGAGAGGAGCACAGGTTGCACTGCATGAGAGGAGCACAGGTTGCACTGCATGAGAGGAGCACAGGTTGCACTGCATGAGAGGAGCACAGGTTGCACTGCATGAGAGGAGCACAGGTTGCACTGCATGAGAGGAGCACAGGTTGCACTGCATGAGAGGAGCACAGGTTGCACTGCATGAGAGGAGCACAGGTTGCACTGCATGAGAGGAGCACAGGTTGCACTGCATGAGAGGAGCACAGGTTGCACTGCATGAGAGGAGCACAGGTTGCACTGCATGAGAGGAGCACAGGTTGCACTGCATGAGAGGAGCACAGGTTGCACTGCATGAGAGGAGCACAGGTTGCACTGCATGAGAGGAGCACAGGTTGCACTGCATGAGAGGAGCACAGGTTGCACTGCATGAGAGGAGCACAGGTTGCACTGCATGAGAGGAGCACAGGTTGCACTGCATGAGAGGAGCACAGGTTGCACTGCATGAGAGGAGCACAGGTTGCACTGCATGAGAGGAGCACAGGTTGCACTGCATGAGAGGAGCACAGGTTGCACTGCATGAGAGGAGCACAGGTTGCACTGCATGAGAGGAGCACAGGTTGCACTGCATGAGAGGAGCACAGGTTGCACTGCATGAGAGGAGCACAGGTTGCACTGCATGAGAGGAGCACAGGTTGCACTGCATGAGAGGAGCACAGGTTGCACTGCATGAGAGGAGCACAGGTTGCACTGCATGAGAGGAGCACAGGTTGCACTGCATGAGAGGAGCACAGGTTGCACTGCATGAGAGGAGCACAGGTTGCACTGCATGAGAGGAGCACAGGTTGCACTGCATGAGAGGAGCACAGGTTGCACTGCATGAGAGGAGCACAGGTTGCACTGCATGAGAGGAGCACAGGTTGCACTGCATGAGAGGAGCACAGGTTGCACTGCATGAGAGGAGCACAGGTTGCACTGCATGAGAGGAGCACAGGTTGCACTGCATGAGAGGAGCACAGGTTGCACTGCATGAGAGGAGCACAGGTTGCACTGCATGAGAGGAGCACAGGTTGCACTGCATGAGAGGAGCACAGGTTGCACTGCATGAGAGGAGCACAGGTTGCACTGCATGAGAGGAGCACAGGTTGCACTGCATGAGAGGAGCACAGGTTGCACTGCATGAGAGGAGCACAGGTTGCACTGCATGAGAGGAGCACAGGTTGCACTGCATGAGAGGAGCACAGGTTGCACTGCATGAGAGGAGCACAGGTTGCACTGCATGAGAGGAGCACAGGTTGCACTGCATGAGAGGAGCACAGGTTGCACTGCATGAGAGGAGCACAGGTTGCACTGCATGAGAGGAGCACAGGTTGCACTGCATGAGAGGAGCACAGGTTGCACTGCATGAGAGGAGCACAGGTTGCACTGCATGAGAGGAGCACAGGTTGCACTGCATGAGAGGAGCACAGGTTGCACTGCATGAGAGGAGCACAGGTTGCACTGCATGAGAGGAGCACAGGTTGCACTGCATGAGAGGAGCACAGGTTGCACTGCATGAGAGGAGCACAGGTTGCACTGCATGAGAGGAGCACAGGTTGCACTGCATGAGAGGAGCACAGGTTGCACTGCATGAGAGGAGCACAGGTTGCACTGCATGAGAGGAGCACAGGTTGCACTGCATGAGAGGAGCACAGGTTGCACTGCATGAGAGGAGCACAGGTTGCACTGCATGAGAGGAGCACAGGTTGCACTGCATGAGAGGAGCACAGGTTGCACTGCATGAGAGGAGCACAGGTTGCACTGCATGAGAGGAGCACAGGTTGCACTGCATGAGAGGAGCACAGGTTGCACTGCATGAGAGGAGCACAGGTTGCACTGCATGAGAGGAGCACAGGTTGCACTGCATGAGAGGAGCACAGGTTGCACTGCATGAGAGGAGCACAGGTTGCACTGCATGAGAGGAGCACAGGTTGCACTGCATGAGAGGAGCACAGGTTGCACTGCATGAGAGGAGCACAGGTTGCACTGCATGAGAGGAGCACAGGTTGCACTGCATGAGAGGAGCACAGGTTGCACTGCATGAGAGGAGCACAGGTTGCACTGCATGAGAGGAGCACAGGTTGCACTGCATGAGAGGAGCACAGGTTGCACTGCATGAGAGGAGCACAGGTTGCACTGCATGAGAGGAGCACAGGTTGCACTGCATGAGAGGAGCACAGGTTGCACTGCATGAGAGGAGCACAGGTTGCACTGCATGAGAGGAGCACAGGTTGCACTGCATGAGAGGAGCACAGGTTGCACTGCATGAGAGGAGCACAGGTTGCACTGCATGAGAGGAGCACAGGTTGCACTGCATGAGAGGAGCACAGGTTGCACTGCATGAGAGGAGCACAGGTTGCACTGCATGAGAGGAGCACAGGTTGCACTGCATGAGAGGAGCACAGGTTGCACTGCATGAGAGGAGCACAGGTTGCACTGCATGAGAGGAGCACAGGTTGCACTGCATGAGAGGAGCACAGGTTGCACTGCATGAGAGGAGCACAGGTTGCACTGCATGAGAGGAGCACAGGTTGCACTGCATGAGAGGAGCACAGGTTGCACTGCATGAGAGGAGCACAGGTTGCACTGCATGAGAGGAGCACAGGTTGCACTGCATGAGAGGAGCACAGGTTGCACTGCATGAGAGGAGCACAGGTTGCACTGCATGAGAGGAGCACAGGTTGCACTGCATGAGAGGAGCACAGGTTGCACTGCATGAGAGGAGCACAGGTTGCACTGCATGAGAGGAGCACAGGTTGCACTGCATGAGAGGAGCACAGGTTGCACTGCATGAGAGGAGCACAGGTTGCACTGCATGAGAGGAGCACAGGTTGCACTGCATGAGAGGAGCACAGGTTGCACTGCATGAGAGGAGCACAGGTTGCACTGCATGAGAGGAGCACAGGTTGCACTGCATGAGAGGAGCACAGGTTGCACTGCATGAGAGGAGCACAGGTTGCACTGCATGAGAGGAGCACAGGTTGCACTGCATGAGAGGAGCACAGGTTGCACTGCATGAGAGGAGCACAGGTTGCACTGCATGAGAGGAGCACAGGTTGCACTGCATGAGAGGAGCACAGGTTGCACTGCATGAGAGGAGCACAGGTTGCACTGCATGAGAGGAGCACAGGTTGCACTGCATGAGAGGAGCACAGGTTGCACTGCATGAGAGGAGCACAGGTTGCACTGCATGAGAGGAGCACAGGTTGCACTGCATGAGAGGAGCACAGGTTGCACTGCATGAGAGGAGCACAGGTTGCACTGCATGAGAGGAGCACAGGTTGCACTGCATGAGAGGAGCACAGGTTGCACTGCATGAGAGGAGCACAGGTTGCACTGCATGAGAGGAGCACAGGTTGCACTGCATGAGAGGAGCACAGGTTGCACTGCATGAGAGGAGCACAGGTTGCACTGCATGAGAGGAGCACAGGTTGCACTGCATGAGAGGAGCACAGGTTGCACTGCATGAGAGGAGCACAGGTTGCACTGCATGAGAGGAGCACAGGTTGCACTGCATGAGAGGAGCACAGGTTGCACTGCATGAGAGGAGCACAGGTTGCACTGCATGAGAGGAGCACAGGTTGCACTGCATGAGAGGAGCACAGGTTGCACTGCATGAGAGGAGCACAGGTTGCACTGCATGAGAGGAGCACAGGTTGCACTGCATGAGAGGAGCACAGGTTGCACTGCATGAGAGGAGCACAGGTTGCACTGCATGAGAGGAGCACAGGTTGCACTGCATGAGAGGAGCACAGGTTGCACTGCATGAGAGGAGCACAGGTTGCACTGCATGAGAGGAGCACAGGTTGCACTGCATGAGAGGAGCACAGGTTGCACTGCATGAGAGGAGCACAGGTTGCACTGCATGAGAGGAGCACAGGTTGCACTGCATGAGAGGAGCACAGGTTGCACTGCATGAGAGGAGCACAGGTTGCACTGCATGAGAGGAGCACAGGTTGCACTGCATGAGAGGAGCACAGGTTGCACTGCATGAGAGGAGCACAGGTTGCACTGCATGAGAGGAGCACAGGTTGCACTGCATGAGAGGAGCACAGGTTGCACTGCATGAGAGGAGCACAGGTTGCACTGCATGAGAGGAGCACAGGTTGCACTGCATGAGAGGAGCACAGGTTGCACTGCATGAGAGGAGCACAGGTTGCACTGCATGAGAGGAGCACAGGTTGCACTGCATGAGAGGAGCACAGGTTGCACTGCATGAGAGGAGCACAGGTTGCACTGCATGAGAGGAGCACAGGTTGCACTGCATGAGAGGAGCACAGGTTGCACTGCATGAGAGGAGCACAGGTTGCACTGCATGAGAGGAGCACAGGTTGCACTGCATGAGAGGAGCACAGGTTGCACTGCATGAGAGGAGCACAGGTTGCACTGCATGAGAGGAGCACAGGTTGCACTGCATGAGAGGAGCACAGGTTGCACTGCATGAGAGGAGCACAGGTTGCACTGCATGAGAGGAGCACAGGTTGCACTGCATGAGAGGAGCACAGGTTGCACTGCATGAGAGGAGCACAGGTTGCACTGCATGAGAGGAGCACAGGTTGCACTGCATGAGAGGAGCACAGGTTGCACTGCATGAGAGGAGCACAGGTTGCACTGCATGAGAGGAGCACAGGTTGCACTGCATGAGAGGAGCACAGGTTGCACTGCATGAGAGGAGCACAGGTTGCACTGCATGAGAGGAGCACAGGTTGCACTGCATGAGAGGAGCACAGGTTGCACTGCATGAGAGGAGCACAGGTTGCACTGCATGAGAGGAGCACAGGTTGCACTGCATGAGAGGAGCACAGGTTGCACTGCATGAGAGGAGCACAGGTTGCACTGCATGAGAGGAGCACAGGTTGCACTGCATGAGAGGAGCACAGGTTGCACTGCATGAGAGGAGCACAGGTTGCACTGCATGAGAGGAGCACAGGTTGCACTGCATGAGAGGAGCACAGGTTGCACTGCATGAGAGGAGCACAGGTTGCACTGCATGAGAGGAGCACAGGTTGCACTGCATGAGAGGAGCACAGGTTGCACTGCATGAGAGGAGCACAGGTTGCACTGCATGAGAGGAGCACAGGTTGCACTGCATGAGAGGAGCACAGGTTGCACTGCATGAGAGGAGCACAGGTTGCACTGCATGAGAGGAGCACAGGTTGCACTGCATGAGAGGAGCACAGGTTGCACTGCATGAGAGGAGCACAGGTTGCACTGCATGAGAGGAGCACAGGTTGCACTGCATGAGAGGAGCACAGGTTGCACTGCATGAGAGGAGCACAGGTTGCACTGCATGAGAGGAGCACAGGTTGCACTGCATGAGAGGAGCACAGGTTGCACTGCATGAGAGGAGCACAGGTTGCACTGCATGAGAGGAGCACAGGTTGCACTGCATGAGAGGAGCACAGGTTGCACTGCATGAGAGGAGCACAGGTTGCACTGCATGAGAGGAGCACAGGTTGCACTGCATGAGAGGAGCACAGGTTGCACTGCATGAGAGGAGCACAGGTTGCACTGCATGAGAGGAGCACAGGTTGCACTGCATGAGAGGAGCACAGGTTGCACTGCATGAGAGGAGCACAGGTTGCACTGCATGAGAGGAGCACAGGTTGCACTGCATGAGAGGAGCACAGGTTGCACTGCATGAGAGGAGCACAGGTTGCACTGCATGAGAGGAGCACAGGTTGCACTGCATGAGAGGAGCACAGGTTGCACTGCATGAGAGGAGCACAGGTTGCACTGCATGAGAGGAGCACAGGTTGCACTGCATGAGAGGAGCACAGGTTGCACTGCATGAGAGGAGCACAGGTTGCACTGCATGAGAGGAGCACAGGTTGCACTGCATGAGAGGAGCACAGGTTGCACTGCATGAGAGGAGCACAGGTTGCACTGCATGAGAGGAGCACAGGTTGCACTGCATGAGAGGAGCACAGGTTGCACTGCATGAGAGGAGCACAGGTTGCACTGCATGAGAGGAGCACAGGTTGCACTGCATGAGAGGAGCACAGGTTGCACTGCATGAGAGGAGCACAGGTTGCACTGCATGAGAGGAGCACAGGTTGCACTGCATGAGAGGAGCACAGGTTGCACTGCATGAGAGGAGCACAGGTTGCACTGCATGAGAGGAGCACAGGTTGCACTGCATGAGAGGAGCACAGGTTGCACTGCATGAGAGGAGCACAGGTTGCACTGCATGAGAGGAGCACAGGTTGCACTGCATGAGAGGAGCACAGGTTGCACTGCATGAGAGGAGCACAGGTTGCACTGCATGAGAGGAGCACAGGTTGCACTGCATGAGAGGAGCACAGGTTGCACTGCATGAGAGGAGCACAGGTTGCACTGCATGAGAGGAGCACAGGTTGCACTGCATGAGAGGAGCACAGGTTGCACTGCATGAGAGGAGCACAGGTTGCACTGCATGAGAGGAGCACAGGTTGCACTGCATGAGAGGAGCACAGGTTGCACTGCATGAGAGGAGCACAGGTTGCACTGCATGAGAGGAGCACAGGTTGCACTGCATGAGAGGAGCACAGGTTGCACTGCATGAGAGGAGCACAGGTTGCACTGCATGAGAGGAGCACAGGTTGCACTGCATGAGAGGAGCACAGGTTGCACTGCATGAGAGGAGCACAGGTTGCACTGCATGAGAGGAGCACAGGTTGCACTGCATGAGAGGAGCACAGGTTGCACTGCATGAGAGGAGCACAGGTTGCACTGCATGAGAGGAGCACAGGTTGCACTGCATGAGAGGAGCACAGGTTGCACTGCATGAGAGGAGCACAGGTTGCACTGCATGAGAGGAGCACAGGTTGCACTGCATGAGAGGAGCACAGGTTGCACTGCATGAGAGGAGCACAGGTTGCACTGCATGAGAGGAGCACAGGTTGCACTGCATGAGAGGAGCACAGGTTGCACTGCATGAGAGGAGCACAGGTTGCACTGCATGAGAGGAGCACAGGTTGCACTGCATGAGAGGAGCACAGGTTGCACTGCATGAGAGGAGCACAGGTTGCACTGCATGAGAGGAGCACAGGTTGCACTGCATGAGAGGAGCACAGGTTGCACTGCATGAGAGGAGCACAGGTTGCACTGCATGAGAGGAGCACAGGTTGCACTGCATGAGAGGAGCACAGGTTGCACTGCATGAGAGGAGCACAGGTTGCACTGCATGAGAGGAGCACAGGTTGCACTGCATGAGAGGAGCACAGGTTGCACTGCATGAGAGGAGCACAGGTTGCACTGCATGAGAGGAGCACAGGTTGCACTGCATGAGAGGAGCACAGGTTGCACTGCATGAGAGGAGCACAGGTTGCACTGCATGAGAGGAGCACAGGTTGCACTGCATGAGAGGAGCACAGGTTGCACTGCATGAGAGGAGCACAGGTTGCACTGCATGAGAGGAGCACAGGTTGCACTGCATGAGAGGAGCACAGGTTGCACTGCATGAGAGGAGCACAGGTTGCACTGCATGAGAGGAGCACAGGTTGCACTGCATGAGAGGAGCACAGGTTGCACTGCATGAGAGGAGCACAGGTTGCACTGCATGAGAGGAGCACAGGTTGCACTGCATGAGAGGAGCACAGGTTGCACTGCATGAGAGGAGCACAGGTTGCACTGCATGAGAGGAGCACAGGTTGCACTGCATGAGAGGAGCACAGGTTGCACTGCATGAGAGGAGCACAGGTTGCACTGCATGAGAGGAGCACAGGTTGCACTGCATGAGAGGAGCACAGGTTGCACTGCATGAGAGGAGCACAGGTTGCACTGCATGAGAGGAGCACAGGTTGCACTGCATGAGAGGAGCACAGGTTGCACTGCATGAGAGGAGCACAGGTTGCACTGCATGAGAGGAGCACAGGTTGCACTGCATGAGAGGAGCACAGGTTGCACTGCATGAGAGGAGCACAGGTTGCACTGCATGAGAGGAGCACAGGTTGCACTGCATGAGAGGAGCACAGGTTGCACTGCATGAGAGGAGCACAGGTTGCACTGCATGAGAGGAGCACAGGTTGCACTGCATGAGAGGAGCACAGGTTGCACTGCATGAGAGGAGCACAGGTTGCACTGCATGAGAGGAGCACAGGTTGCACTGCATGAGAGGAGCACAGGTTGCACTGCATGAGAGGAGCACAGGTTGCACTGCATGAGAGGAGCACAGGTTGCACTGCATGAGAGGAGCACAGGTTGCACTGCATGAGAGGAGCACAGGTTGCACTGCATGAGAGGAGCACAGGTTGCACTGCATGAGAGGAGCACAGGTTGCACTGCATGAGAGGAGCACAGGTTGCACTGCATGAGAGGAGCACAGGTTGCACTGCATGAGAGGAGCACAGGTTGCACTGCATGAGAGGAGCACAGGTTGCACTGCATGAGAGGAGCACAGGTTGCACTGCATGAGAGGAGCACAGGTTGCACTGCATGAGAGGAGCACAGGTTGCACTGCATGAGAGGAGCACAGGTTGCACTGCATGAGAGGAGCACAGGTTGCACTGCATGAGAGGAGCACAGGTTGCACTGCATGAGAGGAGCACAGGTTGCACTGCATGAGAGGAGCACAGGTTGCACTGCATGAGAGGAGCACAGGTTGCACTGCATGAGAGGAGCACAGGTTGCACTGCATGAGAGGAGCACAGGTTGCACTGCATGAGAGGAGCACAGGTTGCACTGCATGAGAGGAGCACAGGTTGCACTGCATGAGAGGAGCACAGGTTGCACTGCATGAGAGGAGCACAGGTTGCACTGCATGAGAGGAGCACAGGTTGCACTGCATGAGAGGAGCACAGGTTGCACTGCATGAGAGGAGCACAGGTTGCACTGCATGAGAGGAGCACAGGTTGCACTGCATGAGAGGAGCACAGGTTGCACTGCATGAGAGGAGCACAGGTTGCACTGCATGAGAGGAGCACAGGTTGCACTGCATGAGAGGAGCACAGGTTGCACTGCATGAGAGGAGCACAGGTTGCACTGCATGAGAGGAGCACAGGTTGCACTGCATGAGAGGAGCACAGGTTGCACTGCATGAGAGGAGCACAGGTTGCACTGCATGAGAGGAGCACAGGTTGCACTGCATGAGAGGAGCACAGGTTGCACTGCATGAGAGGAGCACAGGTTGCACTGCATGAGAGGAGCACAGGTTGCACTGCATGAGAGGAGCACAGGTTGCACTGCATGAGAGGAGCACAGGTTGCACTGCATGAGAGGAGCACAGGTTGCACTGCATGAGAGGAGCACAGGTTGCACTGCATGAGAGGAGCACAGGTTGCACTGCATGAGAGGAGCACAGGTTGCACTGCATGAGAGGAGCACAGGTTGCACTGCATGAGAGGAGCACAGGTTGCACTGCATGAGAGGAGCACAGGTTGCACTGCATGAGAGGAGCACAGGTTGCACTGCATGAGAGGAGCACAGGTTGCACTGCATGAGAGGAGCACAGGTTGCACTGCATGAGAGGAGCACAGGTTGCACTGCATGAGAGGAGCACAGGTTGCACTGCATGAGAGGAGCACAGGTTGCACTGCATGAGAGGAGCACAGGTTGCACTGCATGAGAGGAGCACAGGTTGCACTGCATGAGAGGAGCACAGGTTGCACTGCATGAGAGGAGCACAGGTTGCACTGCATGAGAGGAGCACAGGTTGCACTGCATGAGAGGAGCACAGGTTGCACTGCATGAGAGGAGCACAGGTTGCACTGCATGAGAGGAGCACAGGTTGCACTGCATGAGAGGAGCACAGGTTGCACTGCATGAGAGGAGCACAGGTTGCACTGCATGAGAGGAGCACAGGTTGCACTGCATGAGAGGAGCACAGGTTGCACTGCATGAGAGGAGCACAGGTTGCACTGCATGAGAGGAGCACAGGTTGCACTGCATGAGAGGAGCACAGGTTGCACTGCATGAGAGGAGCACAGGTTGCACTGCATGAGAGGAGCACAGGTTGCACTGCATGAGAGGAGCACAGGTTGCACTGCATGAGAGGAGCACAGGTTGCACTGCATGAGAGGAGCACAGGTTGCACTGCATGAGAGGAGCACAGGTTGCACTGCATGAGAGGAGCACAGGTTGCACTGCATGAGAGGAGCACAGGTTGCACTGCATGAGAGGAGCACAGGTTGCACTGCATGAGAGGAGCACAGGTTGCACTGCATGAGAGGAGCACAGGTTGCACTGCATGAGAGGAGCACAGGTTGCACTGCATGAGAGGAGCACAGGTTGCACTGCATGAGAGGAGCACAGGTTGCACTGCATGAGAGGAGCACAGGTTGCACTGCATGAGAGGAGCACAGGTTGCACTGCATGAGAGGAGCACAGGTTGCACTGCATGAGAGGAGCACAGGTTGCACTGCATGAGAGGAGCACAGGTTGCACTGCATGAGAGGAGCACAGGTTGCACTGCATGAGAGGAGCACAGGTTGCACTGCATGAGAGGAGCACAGGTTGCACTGCATGAGAGGAGCACAGGTTGCACTGCATGAGAGGAGCACAGGTTGCACTGCATGAGAGGAGCACAGGTTGCACTGCATGAGAGGAGCACAGGTTGCACTGCATGAGAGGAGCACAGGTTGCACTGCATGAGAGGAGCACAGGTTGCACTGCATGAGAGGAGCACAGGTTGCACTGCATGAGAGGAGCACAGGTTGCACTGCATGAGAGGAGCACAGGTTGCACTGCATGAGAGGAGCACAGGTTGCACTGCATGAGAGGAGCACAGGTTGCACTGCATGAGAGGAGCACAGGTTGCACTGCATGAGAGGAGCACAGGTTGCACTGCATGAGAGGAGCACAGGTTGCACTGCATGAGAGGAGCACAGGTTGCACTGCATGAGAGGAGCACAGGTTGCACTGCATGAGAGGAGCACAGGTTGCACTGCATGAGAGGAGCACAGGTTGCACTGCATGAGAGGAGCACAGGTTGCACTGCATGAGAGGAGCACAGGTTGCACTGCATGAGAGGAGCACAGGTTGCACTGCATGAGAGGAGCACAGGTTGCACTGCATGAGAGGAGCACAGGTTGCACTGCATGAGAGGAGCACAGGTTGCACTGCATGAGAGGAGCACAGGTTGCACTGCATGAGAGGAGCACAGGTTGCACTGCATGAGAGGAGCACAGGTTGCACTGCATGAGAGGAGCACAGGTTGCACTGCATGAGAGGAGCACAGGTTGCACTGCATGAGAGGAGCACAGGTTGCACTGCATGAGAGGAGCACAGGTTGCACTGCATGAGAGGAGCACAGGTTGCACTGCATGAGAGGAGCACAGGTTGCACTGCATGAGAGGAGCACAGGTTGCACTGCATGAGAGGAGCACAGGTTGCACTGCATGAGAGGAGCACAGGTTGCACTGCATGAGAGGAGCACAGGTTGCACTGCATGAGAGGAGCACAGGTTGCACTGCATGAGAGGAGCACAGGTTGCACTGCATGAGAGGAGCACAGGTTGCACTGCATGAGAGGAGCACAGGTTGCACTGCATGAGAGGAGCACAGGTTGCACTGCATGAGAGGAGCACAGGTTGCACTGCATGAGAGGAGCACAGGTTGCACTGCATGAGAGGAGCACAGGTTGCACTGCATGAGAGGAGCACAGGTTGCACTGCATGAGAGGAGCACAGGTTGCACTGCATGAGAGGAGCACAGGTTGCACTGCATGAGAGGAGCACAGGTTGCACTGCATGAGAGGAGCACAGGTTGCACTGCATGAGAGGAGCACAGGTTGCACTGCATGAGAGGAGCACAGGTTGCACTGCATGAGAGGAGCACAGGTTGCACTGCATGAGAGGAGCACAGGTTGCACTGCATGAGAGGAGCACAGGTTGCACTGCATGAGAGGAGCACAGGTTGCACTGCATGAGAGGAGCACAGGTTGCACTGCATGAGAGGAGCACAGGTTGCACTGCATGAGAGGAGCACAGGTTGCACTGCATGAGAGGAGCACAGGTTGCACTGCATGAGAGGAGCACAGGTTGCACTGCATGAGAGGAGCACAGGTTGCACTGCATGAGAGGAGCACAGGTTGCACTGCATGAGAGGAGCACAGGTTGCACTGCATGAGAGGAGCACAGGTTGCACTGCATGAGAGGAGCACAGGTTGCACTGCATGAGAGGAGCACAGGTTGCACTGCATGAGAGGAGCACAGGTTGCACTGCATGAGAGGAGCACAGGTTGCACTGCATGAGAGGAGCACAGGTTGCACTGCATGAGAGGAGCACAGGTTGCACTGCATGAGAGGAGCACAGGTTGCACTGCATGAGAGGAGCACAGGTTGCACTGCATGAGAGGAGCACAGGTTGCACTGCATGAGAGGAGCACAGGTTGCACTGCATGAGAGGAGCACAGGTTGCACTGCATGAGAGGAGCACAGGTTGCACTGCATGAGAGGAGCACAGGTTGCACTGCATGAGAGGAGCACAGGTTGCACTGCATGAGAGGAGCACAGGTTGCACTGCATGAGAGGAGCACAGGTTGCACTGCATGAGAGGAGCACAGGTTGCACTGCATGAGAGGAGCACAGGTTGCACTGCATGAGAGGAGCACAGGTTGCACTGCATGAGAGGAGCACAGGTTGCACTGCATGAGAGGAGCACAGGTTGCACTGCATGAGAGGAGCACAGGTTGCACTGCATGAGAGGAGCACAGGTTGCACTGCATGAGAGGAGCACAGGTTGCACTGCATGAGAGGAGCACAGGTTGCACTGCATGAGAGGAGCACAGGTTGCACTGCATGAGAGGAGCACAGGTTGCACTGCATGAGAGGAGCACAGGTTGCACTGCATGAGAGGAGCACAGGTTGCACTGCATGAGAGGAGCACAGGTTGCACTGCATGAGAGGAGCACAGGTTGCACTGCATGAGAGGAGCACAGGTTGCACTGCATGAGAGGAGCACAGGTTGCACTGCATGAGAGGAGCACAGGTTGCACTGCATGAGAGGAGCACAGGTTGCACTGCATGAGAGGAGCACAGGTTGCACTGCATGAGAGGAGCACAGGTTGCACTGCATGAGAGGAGCACAGGTTGCACTGCATGAGAGGAGCACAGGTTGCACTGCATGAGAGGAGCACAGGTTGCACTGCATGAGAGGAGCACAGGTTGCACTGCATGAGAGGAGCACAGGTTGCACTGCATGAGAGGAGCACAGGTTGCACTGCATGAGAGGAGCACAGGTTGCACTGCATGAGAGGAGCACAGGTTGCACTGCATGAGAGGAGCACAGGTTGCACTGCATGAGAGGAGCACAGGTTGCACTGCATGAGAGGAGCACAGGTTGCACTGCATGAGAGGAGCACAGGTTGCACTGCATGAGAGGAGCACAGGTTGCACTGCATGAGAGGAGCACAGGTTGCACTGCATGAGAGGAGCACAGGTTGCACTGCATGAGAGGAGCACAGGTTGCACTGCATGAGAGGAGCACAGGTTGCACTGCATGAGAGGAGCACAGGTTGCACTGCATGAGAGGAGCACAGGTTGCACTGCATGAGAGGAGCACAGGTTGCACTGCATGAGAGGAGCACAGGTTGCACTGCATGAGAGGAGCACAGGTTGCACTGCATGAGAGGAGCACAGGTTGCACTGCATGAGAGGAGCACAGGTTGCACTGCATGAGAGGAGCACAGGTTGCACTGCATGAGAGGAGCACAGGTTGCACTGCATGAGAGGAGCACAGGTTGCACTGCATGAGAGGAGCACAGGTTGCACTGCATGAGAGGAGCACAGGTTGCACTGCATGAGAGGAGCACAGGTTGCACTGCATGAGAGGAGCACAGGTTGCACTGCATGAGAGGAGCACAGGTTGCACTGCATGAGAGGAGCACAGGTTGCACTGCATGAGAGGAGCACAGGTTGCACTGCATGAGAGGAGCACAGGTTGCACTGCATGAGAGGAGCACAGGTTGCACTGCATGAGAGGAGCACAGGTTGCACTGCATGAGAGGAGCACAGGTTGCACTGCATGAGAGGAGCACAGGTTGCACTGCATGAGAGGAGCACAGGTTGCACTGCATGAGAGGAGCACAGGTTGCACTGCATGAGAGGAGCACAGGTTGCACTGCATGAGAGGAGCACAGGTTGCACTGCATGAGAGGAGCACAGGTTGCACTGCATGAGAGGAGCACAGGTTGCACTGCATGAGAGGAGCACAGGTTGCACTGCATGAGAGGAGCACAGGTTGCACTGCATGAGAGGAGCACAGGTTGCACTGCATGAGAGGAGCACAGGTTGCACTGCATGAGACCGAACGAAGCAGCACCACCCTCAAGGAATGGGTGAGCTTGGTTGGAACGACACGGAAGCATTTCTATGGATAGAATCAAATGTTCTGATGTGGAGGCGTTTTGTTTTCCCATCACCTTTCCCCCCCTCTCCCCTATCTACTTTTGCACCTGCCCTGAGAAAGCTTTCCCCTGCCCGGCCAAGCGTAAACACAGCGTCCGGACCATGGAGCTTTCAGCGTGCAGCGTATAAACGCTTATCGGACGCTGGATGCGTGCATGACCACACTTAGATTGGAAGGACAGACACGGTATGCCACCACGCGACGCCCTAAAGCAACGCATGGTAACCACTACGTATTGCTACATGCAATCCCGCCAACCACTCGGCTTCGCCACTACCAACTGGGCGAGGGTGCACATTCGTGCGTAGCACCCCCCTGCTACATCATCATGCGTGATGCTGGTGAGCACAGAGAGGGCGCAGGTGTGTGGACAATGTGTGTTGCCACGACCGCAGTGAGCGCACGCACCGGTGAAGAGCAGCAGCGCCAGCAAGCCCGCTAGAGCAACGGCGGAAAGCAGCACCACCGGAACACCCCGCGCTTCCATGCGCCCCCGCGCTCACTCCTCCATGCACCCGCCACGCGCCACTACCCTCCCTCCGTGTCTCTTGCCCGCGCCTCTCCCTGCCGCCACTGCTGCACGTCGCCCCTCTCGCTTGCGCCAGCCACGTTCACCCCGCGCCTCCGGAGCTGCTGCGCAGCACACGCGACCACGCTGTTTCGTATGGATCCCCTTCGCTGCTCACGCGGCCATGGCGCTAGCTGGGGCGCGACAAGGGCGATGCGAAGCTGCGACGCGAACGACACGCCCTGAACGGCTGTGAGAAAGTCTGGCGGCACCCTTCCACCGTTGAGGCAACAGCTTCAATCACGACATACTGCGTTCGCTACCGAACATGAGGTTGGGGGGGGGGGGGGAGGGGGGGGGGTGGGGAGGAGAATACGCGGGCGGGTCAAGTGGCGTATGTTTTCATAAAATTTACAATGAAGGTTCCCGATATTTGGGTGTAACTAGCTTTTTTATGGTTTTGACGGATCTTATTATTTTTCAGAGTGCGCAGAATCTGTGAAATTATTCAATGACGATACAATGAAATTGACGCAACTAAAGAGGGGGGATCCTATCTAGGTGGGAAGGTCGGGCGAAGAAGGGTCGAAAAGCAGGCCCCAAAATTGAAAGGTAGAATTGTGAAGATAGTAGGTAGAGTTAGGAGCCATAGCTAGGTGAGCCCTAGCTAGGCAAGAGAAAGTTTAGGCAAAAGAGAGGGTTTTCACTAGCAGCAATGAGGATACATATAGCAAACCCTAGATGGGTTGTACTCGCTATAGAGCACCCCACTACAGGCTAGAGAATAACATTCTGACACACCCCCATAGCCAAAGTGGGGTGTAATCAGTACAATGAGCAAGCAGGTATAGAGCAGGAGTTAACAAAGGTAAGCAAAGCTAGAGCTAATCACAGCGGGCAAGTGAGGAGGAGGAGGAGCTGTGGAGGTAGAGAAGATGGGAGGCAACGACTGAAGCTGCAGAGGCACGGGCACAGGAGCGGCTGACTCAGTGGCTACCGAAGCAAGGGCGACGGACTACTGGAGTAACTGGCTCGGCGGCTATAGAAGAGCGGCAGGAGCAACGGACCCACTAGCGACTGGTGCAGCAGGCTCACTGGCTACCGAAGCAAGGGCGACGGACTACAGGCGCTGCAAGCGACACGACAGGTACCTCCACACAACCTCCTCCAACTGCCCCGCACCCTCGACACACACCCACTGCTCAAACCCTAGCTCCACTCCCTCGCACCCCCCTAAAACCCTAAACCCCAGTCTCCCACTCATCCACCCCCCTCAGCGACAGCTGCAGCAGTGGGAGACAAAGGAGGAGGAGGAGAAGGGCACGGCGCGCACAACGGACACCCCCACAACCACCACCCCCACACTCCTCACCCCCAAACCCTAAAACGGGTGGGATAGGGGCAGGAGCGCGGGGGACGGAGAGGGGGGGGAAGGCGCGCGCCTCTAGGGCGCCAGAACGGACGGGTGGGGCGAGGGAAGGGGCGTGACGCGCGCTGCTCCCCTGGGCGCCGCGACGGACGGGCAGGGGGGACGCGCGCGCGGCTCCCAGGCCGCCGCGACGGCCTGGCGGGGCGCGCGCGGCCTCCCGAGGGCGCCGCGACGAGCTGACGGGGCGCGCGCGGCCTCCCCAGGACGTCGCGACGACCACGCAGGGCGCCCGCTGGCTCCCCAGTGCGTCGCGACCGACGGGCGGGGCGCTCGCGGGCTCCCGAGGGCGTCGCGACGGACGGACGGGGGGCTCGCGGGCTCCCCAGCGCGCCGCGACGGGCAGGGCGGGGGGCCGCGCGTGCTCCCCAGGGCTCCGCGACGGACGGGCGGGGCGCGCGCTGGCTCCCCCACAGCAGTAAACCGCCGCGCGCCTCGGGGCGCACGGCGGGCAGAAAACCGCCGCGCGCCCCGAGCGCGCGGCGGGATGAAAAATAAGAGGCCGCGCACCACGGGGCGCGCGACACAGCGTAGGGCAGCGGAAGCAGTAGGAGGGCCCACAGGCCAGGAGCGTATGTGCTCTGATTCCATGTGAAGATAGTAGGTAGAGTTAGGAGCCATAGCTAGGTGAGCCCTAGCTAGGCAAGAGAAAGTTTAGGCAAAAGAGAGGGTTTTCACTAGCAGCAATTAGGATACATATAGCAAACCCTAGATGGGTTGTACTCGCTATAGAGCACCCCACTACAGGCTAGAGAATAACATTCTGACAAGAATGCACTGATTGCCCTTGCTATGGGCTCCTTTTTCGAGAATATCCTGATTATGTAAGTTTTTCCTTCGTACTGCCCTTTCTTCATACGGTAAGTGATATTTTTTGCCTTGCGAAAATCAGTGTTTCAAAATATTCACTCTTCACCATTAAGGGTGCTGTATAAGTTCCACTGAAACCGGATTGCCAGAGAAAGGCGTACTTATGGACGTCGCCCGTACGTCCATGATGCATGCGGCTGCCCCCCATTTTCTGTGGCCGTTTGCGGTTCGGTACGCGGCGCATCAGATCAACCTTCACCCCAGGGTCTCCATGCCGGAGACCTCCCCAGCTTTGCTGTGGACGGGGAAGGTTGGCGATGCGTCTGCGTTCCGTGTCTGGGGATCTCGGGCGTTTGTCCGCGACTTGTCTGCGGACAAGCTGTCCCCTCGTGCTGCTCCTTGCGTCTTCCTTGGCTTCCCCCCTGACGCGCCAGGGTGGCAGTTCTACCACCCCACCTCTCGCCGTGTTCTGTCCTCCCAGGACGTCACGTTTGACGAGTCGGTCCCCTACTACCGCCTCTTCCCCTACCGCACTCCGTCCCTCCCCCCGCCACCGCTCTTCCTTGTGCCAGGTCCCCCCCCGGTAGACCCCCTCCCCCCTCAGGGTCCTGCCCCTTCAGGTGTGTCCCAGGTAGACGCAGTCGAGCCTGTCGAGGTTACTGGTGACTCTGGTGCTGCTGAGGGTGCTGAGCCTGGGGGTGCTGACTCTGGGGGTGCTGAGCGTGTGGGTGCTACGCCTGGGGGTGCTGAGCCTGAGGGTGCTACTACTGGGGGTCCTGTGCCTGGGGGTGCTGAGCCTGGGGGTGCTACTACTGGGGGTGCTGAGCCTGGGGGTGCTGAGCCTGGGGGTGCTACGCCTGGGGGTGCTGAGCCTTGGGGTGCTACGCCTGGAGGTGCTGAGCCTGGGGGTGCGGAGCGTGAGGGAGCTGGGCCTGCTCGTGTGGCGTCTGGCGGTGCTGAGCCTGGAGGTTCTCCGGGTGCTTCGTCTCGGCGGGAGCCACTCTCTCCACAGGAGCTGCGCGAGTGGTTTGCCCGGCGCTGGAGGCGTGCTGCTGGAGCTGGAGGTTCTTCGGCTGCTGAGGGTACTGGTGCCGCGGGTCCCGGAGGTGCTCGTACTGGGAGTACTGGAGCTGCTGGGCCTGCGGGTACGACTGGAGCTGGAGCTGCTGAGGGTGTTGGCGCTGAGGCTACTGCTGTCGGTCCTGGAGGCGGTCCTACTGGGGGTGCTACTGGTGCTGCTGGAGGTACTGGAGCTGGAGGTGCTCCTGGCGCTGGTGCTGCCGCTGGGGGTACTGGTGCTGTCCCTGCTGTGTCTGGAGTCGCCGCGCGGCCTCGGCCGTACTTCGTTCCACTCCTTCAGCAGGTTCTTGGTCTCCCGCCTTCTACTGGTCCTCCTCCTCCCTTAGAGTGTCCACAGCCTGTCCCGTCACAGTTACAGTTACAGCCGGCCTCCCCACTGCCCGCTCCTTCTCCCTACACTGGTCCTACTAGAGGTCTTGCTGAGCGTCGTGAGCCTGCGTCTCGCCCTGCGTCGCCTGTCCGTGCTGCTCGCACTAGTGGTCGTGGTTCGCGTCAGCGTCCTCCTCCTGTCCCTGGCACGCACCGGATGTCTCTGCGTCCGTCCACTGCTCCTCTGGGTGCCCCTTTGCCTTCTCCTCCTCAGTCCTCTCTTCCTGCTCTTCCTGACCCGGAGTCGGACTCTCTTCGTGCTGCCAGTCCTACTGTCACGCGTCTCCTTGCTACTGTTGTCACTGACCCTTCCTTTGAGTCCACTGCTGCGTCTGCACTAGTTACTGAGCTCGTCGACTTTGCTGCTCGCTGTCGTCTAGACTACGCTGCTAGTCTTGTTGCTAAGTCTGAGTCTGTCTGTCCTCCGTCCGTCGGGGGTGAGTGTGCCCTTGGCACGGACGTCCTTGAGGACAGGCAGGAGGAGTTCCAGTGTTTGGCTGCTGCTTCACCTCATCTCGTGTCCGTACTGCTTACCCCTGAGGGAGACCCGGATGCACTTGACATCCCGACTCCGCGCTCTTACGCGGAGGCGATAGAGGGTCCCTACTCCTCTCAGTGGCAGGCAGCTATGGACGCAGAGATGGCTTCCTGGAAGTCCACAGGCACCTACGTTGACGAGGTTCCCCCGCCTGGGGCGAACATCGTCAGTGGCATGTGGATTTTCAGGGTGAAGCGGCCGCCGGGTTCTCCGCCTGTCTTCAAGGCG